GCCTAATAGCACTGCCCTTGCGTAAGTATCCACCTCATTCCCACAGCAGTGCCCTTGTCTGGCTTTGTCCCTTCTGGGAGGGCTTCAAAGGCCTGCGAGGCAACAAAGTTGCGCACCTCAGTAGCTTTTGCCTCTCGAAAGGCCTCCTTTTCGCCTTCAGCGAGACGTTTCTCGCTGACCTGACGGCGCGCCGTTTCAGCGCGCTCACGAAGTAGCCTGTCAAGTTCCGCGTAGCTGCCTGTAGCCCTTTCGGGGTCTCTGGCATGTCGATGGCCACCTCCACCGCGGCCTGTCGTCTGCCCAGAAACTTGACGCTGTAGCGAAGTGCTCGTCGGGGATGGTAGCCCACCACGCTTCCTGAGCTTCCTCCCTTACCCCGCTTTGTCCCGCGAAGCGAGGCCGAGAAGGCCTGCTAGGCTGGGAGGGTTCTTGCACTGTCACTGTAGGCTCCATGGTGGCATCCTCCGACTGTTCTGGGGCTTTCCACGTACGCGGAATCTTGTAGGTGGCTCCTCCTCGGCCGGATCCTGGGCCCGGTGCCACTCACTAGGAGCGGGCCGCTCTCCAGAAATATCCTCGAAGCGATTCCCGCCGATCTCCTCGGCAAGGCGGTTGAACGTCTAGGGGGTCCCGTCTCCAGCTGCCAAAGCCTGAAGGAGCTCCTCTCGGGGGAGAAGCTGGCCTCAACTGTTCAGGGCAGCATTTTCGGAGGGACCTCCCTCTCACTAGCCAGACTGCACTGCCTGGCCAATGTGACCCATCCGCTTCTCGTCGTCCTTCGGTGGCCAAGATCCTTGCTGGTCCAAGGAATCGGCCATGGCTCGTCCCTGGAGCTCTCCGGCTCTTCCCACTCTCCTGGGTCTGCCAGAAGTAGACCAAATCTCCCGGCCTGTATGTGGCTTGGGCATGGCGCGACTAATCCTCTGGCGGGCCTGCCAGTCGCACAAAGCCTTCTCCGCATCTGCCCGGGTCTGGGCCACACGGGCAGAATCCTCCGATGCGTTCTCTACCAGAGCCTCATCTGGGATCTGCTCTGCTCGATGAATAAGACGTCCTGTCACATCCGGGTTTCGCCCGAAAGCGTGTTGTATGGGCGTGAAGCCCCTCACTTGCTCTCTACTGTTGAAGACTTCAACCGCAAGAGCCAAGGCTTCTTCCACAGACAATTCTTCATCACATGCGCACACTCTTTCCATGACATGTTTCAAGCCCTTGACTGCATTCTCACAGACGCCAATCTGCCACTGAGCGTCGGCAGGGATAACGTCCAAGTACACTGAATGTCTGTCACAGAAGTCTTCAACCTGTTGGCCTCTGAAGGACCCTGCCGGATCAAGCCGGAGGACATCCGGACGACCGAACACTTGGAACCACAATTCTCGTAAGTATGAGAGACACGTGGCGGCATTGGGTTGCTGTCGAACTCCCCTACTCAGGACTTTAGCAATCCTAAATCTGGACCCCTCATCGATCACCAACATGAACTGCACCACCTCTCCACTCTTGGGGTGGGTCCAGTGCCCCACATCGGCCGAGATGGTTTGCCACCGGGGTGGGAGCACCTCAAGGGAAGCCAGTCTCCGGGGAGGGGGTCTCTTCCTTTCTTGACACGCCGAACACACAAACCGTGACGCCACCTCCAACACTTGTTTGGAAGCTCCTCGGCGCTTCAATGCATCGATCATGGTTTTCACGCTCCCGTGTCCTGTCGCCGAGTGCAACAAGTATAACTGCTTCATGATGCGCTCCTCTTCAGCTTTCTGTTGCGATTCCGCGGACAACGCTTCCTCCGGGGCCTTGCGACAGATGGGTTCCGCCGGGGGTAACACAAAACCACATTCCCTCGCTCTCGTTCTCTCCGCCTCACTCAAGTGGTGGGAGCCCGAGACACACACGCCGTCACGACGATTCTCTCTCCCGTCCACTTCTGTGTCTGATGCCACTGCATAGGAGAGAACTTCACGACTTTCCCTTTAGCGTCCCACAGCCGGCCTCGGATCCACTCACCGGTGGGAAGCTGCCGTCGTAGCTCCGCGCCGTGGTCTCCACTCTCGGGGCTTTGGAGCCACAGCTCCCCATGTTCATATCTTCCTAGCCCTATCATGTGATTTTGAAATCTGTTGTCATTGTTCACGTCACGATGGAGAGGCAACATGTTGTTCCAGCTAATAACCGGCGAGGATCTGCAGAAGGGGCCTCCAGACCAGTTTTCCATCGAGGGGCACAAGCTTCGTTGCATCTGGGTGGCGGAAGACGGCCAAGTTTGCCTTGAAGTCCACCAGCGCGCCCAGCATGGTCATCGCTTCTTATGCTGAGGAGAATGGGTCCATCTCCTTTGTCAAGGGCGTGTGGAAGTGCAGCGATCCGTCAAGGAATTGCCGAACCCAAACACAGGTCTGTCGTCTTTGTCAACATCGAGGACCCGAGGGTCCCCATAGGCTGCAACATTCACTGCCATCAGCTAGGCCTTGACGGATCCGATGCTGCGGGTGGCTCCGCAGTCCATCACTGCTTTCCCTTGTCGCACCGCCTCTTGAGTGGTGATGCCGGTCGCGTAAGCCCCGCCATCCACCTGGCCAGGCTGCTTCTCGCGTAGATAGGACGCTGTCTCGGTCTCCACGCGGTCGGCTGTAGGGACCTCCGGTTCATCACCAGGTGTCTCCATGGCCTCCGTCTCTGGCGCCTCCAGGTGCTCCGAGAAGCAGATGAACGAGGCAGTCTCATTCTCTGCGAGGTTCGCCGCCTGTATATTGGGACAATTGGCCACTCTGTGTCCCTTTTTCCCACACCCCAGGCAGATGAGCTGAGAATCATCTGTGTGGCGGCGCGGGGCTGCTCCTTTTCCTGTGCTCTTGCCTCCGACGCGGAAATACTGCCGCGACATCTTCACAGCATGTTGTTTGGCCCGGGCCTCCTTCAAGGTCTTCTTAGCTCCGCCGATGGCGGCGAGGGCCTCGGCGATCTCGTTCTGGGCCTCACTCCACATTGCGAAGCCCTCATCGTTGAGGTTCTCCGCAACTTCGGCTTCTTCCTGGCTCGGAAGTCCTCCCCTGCCGTGGTGAGAACCAGCCCCCGTTCATTGGCATCCAAGCCTGCATCTTGTAGAAGTAGCCATCCCTGGACAAAGTCCGGAAGGATCTCCGGCAGCACGGCGGCGGCTGCTCTGTGGCTGGATCCTCCCCAGCTCCCTCCGGCTTCCGAGCCCCACTGGCTACTCCAGGTCGAGCTCCATCCTGAGTACCACCATGGTACCACGTCCACGAGTCTCGGTTGCTCGCTGCATCCCCCGTGGGATCGTCGCGGTCCTCCTCGTTGTTGTCCTCCTCGGCCACGGTGTCCATGGAGGTCCTCCCGCTCCATGTAGTCGACGTCCCATGCCACGTAGGTGTCGTCGATCCACTTCGCACCGAAGGCCCGGAGCTCGCCGCTGCTTGAGGTAGTCGGGCCAGTGCCTGTTGGGCCCTCAAGTACACCTCCGCGCGCCGGGCCACATACTCGTTGATGATCTCGCCCGGTTTGCGCTTGCAGTACTTGAAGAACTTGCTCAAGTGCTCGGTCACCTCCGCCACTCGGGGCTTGCCCAGCCCCTTCCGTAGATGCTCCAGGAGAGCCTCGGTGCCTCCTTGGTATGACAGCCAGTCCGCCGGCTGCCCCGAGATGAAGCGCCGGGCCGCTCCTGTCAACTCGGCTGCCACCCGCGGTCCCACCTGAGGCCGCTTGTGGTATGCTGTGCCCTGCTCGTAGAGGCGAACCGCCTCCGCGAACTCGTTGTAGGATCCCCATCCCAGATCGGCACCCCGTCCTTGGTCCTTCCCACGGACCCTGTTCCACTTGCCATCTCCAGTCGGGCTGACCAGTCTGGAGCTTCCGTTTCCCTGGATCGAACCACTTCTGCTCCCGAATCACGATTCAGAAGACAGGCTCAAACGCTACCATGTAAGTGGTAACAGCTCTCGGGTGCTCTAGCTGTCGATGACGGCACCGAAGAGGGGCAGTAGCTCGGACACCAGCTATGGCTTAAGCGAAGCGGTCTTTTGGCTACACTACCCCAGTGGTCGCCTCTGATCATACGAAGCTGCGCAGGGCACGTAAGCGTCTGCAGCTGCCAAGCCTGAAAGCAAGCTTGCAACCCCTAAACCCTGAAGCCCTAAACTCTGAGACCTCAAAGCCCTAAGCGAAGCGGAACCTCAAAGGATCGCCAGCTCAAGGCAGCGATGCTCGGACGAGAGCTCTTCAGCTTTTCCCTGGGCCTCGAAAGCGAGAGCTCTTAGGGTCTTTGGAAAAGGGTTTTGGGGTTTAGTGTTTTAGGGATTCAGGGTGTAAGGTTGAAGGTTTAAGGGGTGTAGGGCTTTAGGGATTCAGGGTTTAAGGTTTAGGTTTTTAGGGTTTTGGGGTTTACGGTTTGGGTTTTAGCGTGAGGCGCCGCCGCAGGGTCAATGTAGCGGCCCTTCCTCGTTTCTCGATAAGCGGCATGTCTGAGGCACCGCTTTGTACAGTGTACAGAGGCCGCGGCAGATGAGGCGCCACATCGCCCAGGAAAAGGGGGAGCTTCGCTTTTTCTATCTGCTGAGCTGCTACCAGGGCAGTACTTGATAGTTCTGAGGTTCGAGTAAGCAGTACCAGTATCTCTTTGCAACCCTTTGCAAGCATTGTCATATTTTCAAGGCCTCTATATCCTTTGTGGGTGGCTGTTTAGATACTATGGAAGCTTAAATAAGTACCTATACTATTTTGGGGGTTCCTTATGATGATTATAGTGTAATATAACCCAAAACCCTATTCTACTTGTTAAGGCGAGCCCTCTAATTAAGGATCCCCTTAAAAGGAACCCTATTCCAATTATTAAGGCCCCTACATTATCTGGATCCATAGCCCTTAATTAAGGAATATACCTTAAATTATAGGGGATTCAAGGCATATTCCTTAATTCCCCTAAACCCTAAACCCTAAACCGTATTCCTTAATTAAGGGGGCATTGGGTTCTCTGGGGAACTCACGAGGTCAGCAAGCAGCGCCTGGCCACGGCATGCGACGACCGCAGTGCCGCGATCTTCGACTTTAGTGGGCGGCGTCTGGTGACCTGCAGCTTGACTGAGGGCTGAGGGCTGAGGGCTTAGGGTTTAGGGTTTAGGGGCCTCAACAGTTTCCCAAAATACTTTTGGGGGGTTCCTTATTATAATTACAGTATAGTATACCCCCAAACCCTATTCTGCTTTATTGAGGCCCCTACATGAGGGGTTAGGGGTTCCTTTGATGCCTTTAAGGGTTCCCTTTTCAGGGCTCCCCCAAGTTGTAAACCCCCCGCATCAAGCTACCCCCCACGAAAGATACAAGATAATTGCACGACTGGAGCGAGATCCCTCTTCTGAACCGGCGTCGAAGCGCGCAAAACAGGCGAATCCTCTGTTGATCGTATTTCTGACTGAAGCTGTGCCGAGCTTCTGCAGGTTGAGCCCGAACCCAAAACCCTATAAGGGTAGTTCTCCAAAATAGGCTCCCTTTTGGGGTCCTGTCTATAGGGGTGCCGTACTATATTTGGGACCTAAAAAGGGACCCTAATATAGAGAACTACCTACAAAGCTTCCCCAGTCTAGATACCCTTGCTTCTATGTCCACAATCCGGGAATACCCAAAGTTCAAGAACCTTACGCTCCAACGCCACATAGTGATGACATTAATGCTTTGATGCGGTGATGACCACAATGCTGACCATGTCGCCATGATGATGATGTGATGATAATGATCATGGTTATGCCGGCGCTGGTGGTAACATTCATGATGATGTAGATCGTGTTTATGACGATCAGGTTTATCCATGGTGATGATGATTATAATGATGACGAGGGTGATGATGATGATGATGATGATGATGATGATGATGGGGATGACGGCGATGATGATGATCACCATCACCACAACCACCATCATCAAGATCAGCAACATCATCCTCATCAACATCAACATGAATATCACCATTATCGTCATCATCATGATGATGATCCCCATCATGGTCATGATCGTCATGATAATCGTCATCGTCGTCATCATCATTGCCGTCACCAGCATCATGATCATCGTCGTCATCGTCATCATCATCGTCTTCGTCATCATCATCATCATCATCATCATCATCAGCATCCGAGTGATATGTGGACGATACAGATTGCGTTTTGCTATGGTCGCGAGGGTGGCAACCGTTGTGATGACACTAAGAATTAATGAAGCTGTTTGATGGTGATTATGATTATGTCAGTTGCCATAGATGACCATGTGGGTAGTTCTCTAAACTAGGGTCCCTTTTTGGGTCCCCACTTTAGTACGGCACCCTTCTAAAACGGACCCCAAAAGGGACCCTAATTTAGAGAACTACCCATGTTGATGTTGATCATCACCTTGATGCTTTCTGCAAGTGGCTGCTGTCAACTGGGGTGGCGAAGGGGCCACCGGCAAAAAGGTTGTCGGGCAGAGGCCTTTTTCCCAAACCATGAGCCTCACGAACCTGAACAAATTTGCCCGAACCTTCTAAATCGTTTAGGGTTTAGGGTTTAGGGTTTAGGGTGTCGGTACTGACACTGGCGTTGCTGACCGGCTTGTCAGGTTAAGTTCAGCGTACCTTTTTCTTGAGGAGGGGGGTTGGCCTAAGTTTAGGGTTTAAGGTTCAGGGAACATCCCACATGCAGACTACATGCCCAACCCTCCGAAACCCGTGACATGCTTATACAAAGTGTCCATGACCCCTAAAAGAACCCTCATAAGACCATTAGGGTTTAGGGTTTAGGGCTTGTTCGTCCAGAACGTTTCGAACGATCCGAGATGCCCAGGTCGCGGACACCTCTCTTTCGTCTGGGAGGCTTCGTGTTCAGCCTTTGGGTTTGAGGTTTTAAGGATTCAGGGTTCAGGGTTTAGGGCTCCTTTAAGGGGACTCTAGTTTAGGGATTCGGGTTTTGGGTTTAGGGTTTAGGGTTTGGGCTGTTATGGTGTTGGGTTTAGGGATTTGGGTTCAGGGTTTAGGGCTTAAGGATAACAGCAGGTCCCCTAATAGAGTAAACAGACCGGTGAAAGTGTTTTTTCATGGTCGTACGAAAGGATTAAGGAAAGGGCCCCGGTCTATTTTCCGTAACGGGACCGCTGTAGAATCTTTCTTCATGAAGCCGCATGGAGCCGTTGAAAGCCTTATACAACCTTGGAGAGCCCAAAGCAGCCCTAAACCCTAAACCCTAACCCTAAAAGCCCTAAACCCTAAAAAACCCCGCGAACCTAAAAACCCTAAACCCTAAAAGCCCCGAGCCATAAACTCTAAACCCAGTTAACCTTGATCCCTTCCGCTTCCGAGCCCTTGCTATGCCTTGGGCCCAAGGAGCTTTCCACGCCCTCAAAATTATAATATAGAGGCCTTAGTAATAACCAATACTATTTTGGGTGTTCCTTATTATAACTATAGTGTAATGGGCCCCACAACCCTATTCTAATTATTCAGGCCCCTATAATACCGGTTTTGGGCTGTAGGGTTCTGTAATTGAAGTACCCATCGCAGGTGTTCCTGAAACCGTAAACCCTAAACCCTCAACCCTAACAAAAACCCTCAGCCCTCAACCCTATGAGGCGTAAGCCCTAAACCCTAAACCTTAAACCTTAAGCCCCAAACCTTAAGCCCTAAACCCTAAGCCCGCTAACCCCCAAGTCCCCTAAACCCTAAGCGCGCTTAAGCGTATTGGTGTTGGTTTTTGTGCTTTCAGGGCTTTGAGCTTCCCGGCTTTGAAAGGCCCACATAATTTAGAGCCAAATCATTTAGAGCGCCTGGAAGGGCTCCCACCATTATTATTACTTCAACATGTTGATTGGATGCTTTGATCATAGCTTTTTCCATTCTTGTTACTGTTGCTCCCTAAACCCTAAGCCCTAAGCCCTAAACCCTAAACCCTAAACCCTAAACCCTAAACCCTAAACCCTAAACCCTAAACCCTAAACCCTAAACCCTCAACCCTGGTTTGAGGCTTTCGTGTTTAGCGAACCAATGGGCTCCAAACCTGACACCCTCAACCCGGGCAGCTCGGTCTACTAGAGACGCCTGAATAACTATGATAATTTAGGGTTTAGGGTTTAGGGTTTAGGGTTTAGGGTTTAGGGGTTTAAGGGTTTAGGGTTTAGGGTTTAGGGTCATTTTAGTAGTAATAGTATTAGTAAGTAGTGATGAGTAGCCCCGAAAAGGCAGGTCAAACACAGAAGATGGCTTGGGGTTCGGGGTTCGGGGTTTAGGGTGCTCTATGTCAGCGGGGTTTCTTTCTGGAGGGTCTGATAGATATCGATACCTTACACCCTTGACCCCTAGACCCCCAGACCCTTCATCAAATGGCAGAGAACCGTTGCAATATTACTATATACATACATGCATACATGCATG